AAAATTTTATATTTAAATTATATAATATATAAATAAAATAAATTTTAAAAAAAGAAACCTTTAAAAAGTCTGTGGACCCTTAAGCTCTTTTGTTTAGAAACCAAAACAATCACGGGGCTGATTTGTCATTTTCATCAGACAAAAATTAGTGATTTTTATATAGGAAGTGGATACCTGTGCTGTGTGGTGGACAAATGGACAAATAAGCTCTCATCTGTAGAAAAATTAGTGATTTGTCATTTCACATCGCGTCTTTTCTTAAAATTCGGAATTCAAAAAAAGTAGTAAAACGATTAAAAGTTTGTCATCATTATAGTTACTTTCCGTGGAAAGCATATAATATATTAATTATACCAAGAAGGGATTGGATCAAGTGGTAAGCGACTTGTTCCAGCTTAAGTAAGATTTCGAGTTTGAGACCTTGTGTATGCAGCAGCTCCTGCTGAGAGACTTACCCACCATTTCTAGATGCGCGATGCAGATCAAATCCAGATTAATCGAGGCAAAGCCCCAAATATCGAGCGAAAAACCAAAAAAAAAAAAAATATAATACATTAATTATATTCTCCCTCTCTCTGTACCGCTTGCCAGTTGCGGAAGGAATTGCGCATTATGCATCCTTCACTCTATAACACGTGGTAGTACAATTATGGTGCTGAGTTATTGGCAGATTACTTTTAAGTTTGATGTGATTTTTTAATTTTAAATTTATCTCTTTATAAGATATAAATTAAAATTTATTAATCATAAAATTTATAATTAATTTTATATAAAATTTTATATTAAATTATATTATATTTTAATTTTGTTAACATTTAGCTTGCTACTAGCCTTCTTAGCTGTTGTTGATGTTATCCAACCAGTCAATTTTTTTTAATCCAAGTATTGTTAAAATTCCTCATATTTTACTTGCAGTTGCAAGTGTATTCTGACATCATTGTACACCTATATGCAATAATATTTTCTGCTTGCTTTCACACAGAACGTATTGCACTGGCACATTGTAGATACCCAATCCTTCCCATTGGAGGATACCTTCATATCCAAAGCTGTGGAATGCTGCTTCAGAACGATATACAATGGCTGACATTGCTGAAATTGTGAGGCAAGTGCTTTTGCCACTTGGTTGCACTGAAAGAATACTTATTGTCCTCATACATCTTTTGTTCCTGATATGGTGGTTAACAACTGTTGCGGTTATGCCCAAAAACAAGGGATTAACATAATGGCTGAAATTGATGTCCCTGGGCATGCACTCTCCTGGTGGTACTGATTTTTCTAGTCTTAAAGCAGTATTAAATTTTACTGTTGGTGCATAGACTTCCTTTAACAAAGCAACAACATATTCTATATGGTAGATGGAACTGTTCAATTCTAGAGAAAATATTATTTTACTTTTGTTCATGGTTGTTGTTCCTTGGTATTTTTCACTTGCACTCCTCAAGATGATCTGTCCATCAGTGGTGATAGTAACTAAAATTAGAGATTTTTTCCATCATTCAATAGATTGTGAACTTGTGTTTTTTATTCTTTAGGGGGGTCGGCTATCCTGCTTTATGGCCATCAAATGATTGTCAGCAGCCACTTGATGTCAATAATGAATTCACTTTTCAAGTGATAAATGGAATTCTTTCAGGTGATCTCAGTGGCATAAAAACATAAATGACTGACTCCGCATTGGGTTATATTACCTCCTTCCAATAAGTATGTTTTCTTAATAAAATCTACAAAAATGAAATTAAATTAATGTTTTTGATATTTCTTTTTATAGATTTCAGTAAGATCTTTAAATTTAAGTTCATTCATTTGGGAGGTGACAAAGTTAATACTAGTAAGTTCAATGTGCCTTGTAATACCCTTAAAATTAGTTCAATATACTTTCTAATGCTCTTACAGTCTCACTGATGTAGTAATATTTTGTCATGATTATGGTTTATGCTGCTATAATTGACATTTGATGCTAGAGATTGGTTTATTTTTTTGGTATATTTGATGAGTGGACTATAGAACAAGGTATAGAATAGTTGTAGTCTTCTCCTTTCACAAATCCCTCCCAATTTACCTCAAGTTTCAAATTTGAGATCTTGAATTTGAAGTCTAACCTTTTATCAATCAAGACACACTTTGGGAACTAAAGAATAGTTTATTGAAGTATATGTACATTCTCTACCAATGTTCATTAAAATCAGATATTCTACTGATAAGAAAAACAAACCATAGATATTCTTTTTGTTTCCCATTTTTGTCTCAACTAAAGTTTATTTGATATTTTCTTCATCTCATAGAAATGAAAGTGTCTTTGAGGGTTTTCCTAAACTTATATACAATGTCAATACAATATAATATTTTAAACCAATAATTCATTAACACTTGAATTCACTATTAATTTCAGGTTGCTGGACTGATACTCCATGCATAAGCAAGTGGTAAGAACATTAGGATCTTTACAAAAGTCCTACACTATCTGAGTTAAACATAAAGGGCACATTTGGTTAGAGGGTGTTCATATTCCTTGGTTAAACAATAAAAACAAAACATAGTTAAGAAACTACAATAAGCCTAAATATTTATAATTCTTATTGAGATTAGGTGAGAAATAAGGAATACATAATATTTAGTGGATGTTTTAATTCATATTCCTTACTCATGCCTTAATTTAGTAGTAAATTATCAATATTAGGGGGTAACTAATCCTAACTTCTTAAGGATGTTTCTCAATTTTGCATTATTTTTATAGTTTGACCAATGAATAATCACTCCTTCCAACCAGAATGTAAATTACAAAATCCTCCCCAGTATGGTCTATAATTACAGTTTCCCTAAAATTTGAAAAACCAATGCCAACTTCCCTAAAAACCTACATTTCTCCCTCTTAAAATGCCTAAATAGTAAAACCTTACTCATACATTTATTCACCAAGATGGTAATTAATAATCTCAACAAGGTTTAGAGAAAGTGTAATAATAAGGTTCCTTAAAAGTGATTTTGTATTTGTTCTGCAGGAAATATTTTTTTTTTTTGGATAACATGGGTATCTGGGCCTTTGGCCTGGGTACACTTGTGAACCACACCATCCAAAGCAAAGCTCCATCTAACATGGCAAGTGTAGCCCTGTGAAATTGTTTGTACCCAAATGGCAATAAATACTATGAGAAATATTAATTCTACCTTCATTAGTCATTCCCTTTTCTAAATCATTTGCTTGTATGTGCCTTAAGTTTCGAAATGCTACTATACTTTTTAGAAGTTAAATCACTATTGCATAATTATATACACCCCTCTTCTTTCTTTTCAAAAATTTTTTGGTCTTGGAAGAGGAACCATTAGCAAGTCTACCTAGCTACTTTTACAATCTGACTTGCTGGTGTAAGAAACAAGCTTCTCTGTCTGATGTACTGCTATTTTTATTGCATTTTCATAGTATCATAGGGGTGTCCACCAATATATAAAGCATCATATTATGTTATCACTTCTTTCCGAAATGTTTAGTATTTGGTGTCACATGACTAAATGTCTGTCCTGTTTCTTTTCAGTTGCTTTGTTTTGGTCTACCCTCTCTCTAGTCTTGATTTGCTGCTGTCATGGCTTTCCCATTTGGGGCTTTTTATTTTTTATTTTTTTGTTTTTGCTATCTGTTGTAATTGCAATATGATTTTGTTTGAATACCTCTGATAGTTGCTTTCAATAATAATGCATTTTATTCAGCATAAAATCAGCTTTCATACCTGCTATAGTAAATCTATCAGCTCAGATACCAAAGAGATAGCATTCCACTTGTTGTCCATCAAGAGAGCTTCTTACTTACTTGATTACTCTGATTTCCAGGTTAAAGAAGCATCACATGAATGAATCCCAAGCTTATCAGTACTTTGTCTTGAGAGCTCAGAATATAGCTCTGTCCCATGGATATGAAATTGTTAACTGGTATGCATCTTGTACTATTTAGTCAATTACATTGTTTTCTACATAAAACCTTTTTATGTCCACAAATAAATTACATTTTCAATTTGTAATTCTATCAATCACTTATAAAATATAACAGGGAGGAGACATTCAACAACTTTGGCAATAAATTGAGCCAAAAAATTGTGGTGCACAACTGGTATGTTATACTCCTCTTGACTGCCATCTAGACTGCGTATCACATGATTCTATCTACATGTCTTATTTCTTGTCATGATGCATCTTAAATTTAATACACTCTTCTCCATGCCTAAAAGTCAATAAATTAAGAAACATAATTTTGACTTCAATTCAACTATCTTCGTTGTTTATTGCCTTGGCAATTTTAACTTTTTGCTCATAAATTAAGAAAAATAATGACAACTTCAATTTGAAGCTATACTGTTCTACTGTTCTACCAAAATTCCCTTTTTCCCAGTTTGTAAGGGCATAAAATTGTGGCTTAAGGATGAAGAGTCTTATAACACTCTATATCTAATTGATTTTGGTGGTGGTAGAAATGGAATTCAACTTTATGATAGATTTCTCTAAGCATCTTGTTTTATGAGCTATTGTACTCTTTTCCTCTGATGAGATAGTACAAGGAAAGGGTTCTTAATTGACCACTGCCCACACTGCCCAGGAGGTAAATTCTAGTAACTATCATTTGAAACCTTCATAGTTATATTGTTTTTGGTTTTGCATAGTTGGGAAATTTTCACTGGTAAATATTTCCAAAGCAAGTACAACTTATAATTTTCTACTCAATATGCAAACTTTGCTTTGGATTCAATTGTCGGATGGGGTAGAAATGTAGTGCCCATACATTGCTCAGATAATGCCTCTCCTGAGATTTCTAGTTGTGCTTTGATTTTAATCAGGCTCGGTGGTGGAGTTGCTGAGCAAGTGGTGGCATCTGGATTAAGGTGCATTGTGAGCAACCAGGATAAGTGGTACTTGGACCACTTGGACACCACCTGGCAGGAATTCTATATGAATGAACCACTCACAAATATTACAAACTCCAAGCAACAGAAGTTAGTTATTGGTGGTGAGGTATGCATGTGGGGTGAACACATTGATGGGTAGATATAGAACAAACCATATGGCCATGTGCTGCAGCAGCCGCAGGTACTTATTGTCTACTATGTTAAGATTCCATTACCCCAATATCTTATTGCTGGCACTATATTGTTAACAAATCAATGGTTTTGATTTTTTATGCTTTAACTCTTGGCTTCATGTCTTGGGAGTTAAGCCTGGTAGCCAATAAAATAGATTGAGCTTGCATTGAAGTTTTATAGTTAAGAACATTTAACACACTACACTACTGGTTTCTTTTTCTAGCATCTATAGTTCTATAGTAAAAATAAAAAAAAAAAAAAAAACCCAAACATAGGATATTGTAACTGGAGAACAAAAACTAGTTTATTAAGGCTTGTAGAGGTAAAAGAAGATATCTTATCAAGACCACGATAGAGATACAGACATCTAACCAAGCAACTTGTTGCATGGCTAGCAGAATTTGCTTAAAAAAGTGGTCTGATCACCAGTTCTGGAATAGGGGTGTGTGTGTGTGTGAGTGTGTGTGTTTGTGTTTGTTTGGCTTATTGGAATCATTTTGTTGCATGTGAATTTTTCCCAGGCTAACTATTTTAATTCCTTGTTTTTCAAAAAAAAAAAAAACTATTTTAATTCCTTTTCCCCTGTCCTTTATATGAAGAGCGACTATGGACACCATATGACAAGCTTGCCAAGGGTGCAAGTGAAGTTACTAGAAGGTTTGGCTTATTTCAGATGTTTATTGAATCAAAGAGGAGTTGCTGCTACTCCACTATTTGGACCAGGCCAAGTTGCCCCTTTTGAACCAGGTTCTTGCTACGTGCAATAAGAAGCAAAAGCACTGGAACAACTCCTAGTTGTAAAAAACCAATTTGGTTGTAAATTGAAAAAAGGCCCCATTTTAATGTACCTCATATTGGTGGATGAATCTCACCTGTTAAAAGATCAGGTAGTTTCCACCAGTTGCTTTCTTCAATTTCTTCAACAAAAATTAAAGTTATTATGTCTTTTTACAATTGAAGCACAGCTTGAAAATTCAACAAAATGAATGGATGTTTCCATCTAATTCAACTGCCACTCTAAGGAAAACATCCAGTTATGTCTTCTATGTATTCAATGTTTTCAATTAATCATACAAAAATGTTGCAATTTTGTAATTGTCTTATATATCCGCTCCAAGTTCTTAAGACAGTTTGGGAATAACACCCTCAAACTAAAGGCTGTGGGTTCCAAGCCATTTTCTCTTTTTGAAACATTAGACTTTTTTCTTTATAAATTTTTGGTTAAATATCTTTTTTGGGCCTCCTATTATGAAAAAAAAAACCCATTTTAGTTCTTATTGAAAAAATCTCCCTCAAACAAAAGGCTGCGTGGTTTCCAACCCTTTTTTTTTTTTTTTTGAGGAATCCAAGCCATTTTCTCTTTCTGAAACATTAGACTTTTTTCTTTATAAATTTTTGGTTAAATACAAAAATCAGTTGTTATATTGAAAAAATTTCTTTTTTAATTTTCAGAATTTGAAATTCAGTTCTTTTTTAAATATTTCGTTAAATTTAGACCTCTTTTTAATATCTTTATTAAATTTTAATTGATGTGACATATTAAAAAAATTTTGATAAAAACTTGACTTTGTGAGTCAAATGGCTTTAGTCACTGTTGCAAAGTTCATTTCCTCTTCTTCTAAGATAATGGCTCGAACCGACCCCATGATTAAATGTTAAAAAAAAAAAAACCGACATTAAAAGTTGATAACATTAAATTTTTTACTGATACAATCTTAAAAATCATTTAATTATATAATTACTATTATAAATATTATAAATATTTTAAAAATTATTTTATGGTTAAAAGTACTTAATTTTAATTACTTATTTACCCTCGTCCTCTTACCCCTTCTGCTTTATCCTCTCCTTCCTCTGGCCCTCTTTTTTTTTTTTTAACCTTTGCCAAATCAGATCTGGAAAGATGAAACCAGGAGCCTTCGCGCTGGGTTCATCGCGACGAACCCAGCGTAGACGAACCCAGATTCTGGTACCAGTTATATTAGAGAAGAAAAAATTAAAAATCGAAATCATTACTAATTCATCCAGATCAGAAGTTCAAAACTAAAGTGTTCTAAATCGAATCAAGATGATAGCAACCAAACCAGAAATGGAGGTTAGAAAGGAAGAATTAGGGATTTGGGAAAGAATTTAGAAGAGAAGCAGAAGGAGGAAGGAAGAAGACAATCGAGAGGAAGAGAGAAGTCGAGAGGGAGAACCATTTTCATTATTCATCAAAAGCTCCTCCAGTTCCATCGACCTGGCCTTTTGTAGCCACTTTACATGCGTACCTCTATTAGCCTAGGTACAACCTTATCACAGCATATATCTAAAATGGGTATGTATCACAAGATCTCTTATTTGCCCCTGAAACTTAATCCAGTAAAAAAAACGAAAAAAAGAAAGAAAAAAAAAAAAGGGTTCATCCATCAACCAAGCAGTGAGCAGAGAATTCCTAGAGATCTAAGCCCTAAAAGAATCATAAACAAAATCAATTCCGATGCACAAAAAAAACTGCAATACCGATTCGCACCAAACCAACAGAACAAGTTTGAAATCCCCTTACTGAAAAACATATCAAAAAAAGAAGGCTTCTATAGTAAACAGATGCTGATTCTAATTAAGTTCTGATTAACTATGAACACACAAAAAGGTTTTTATTTTTTTATTTTTCTCTAAATTCCCAAGTCTGTAACAGTGAGGTAAACAGCTAGCACATCACATCCTTGAGAAGCTTGTACTGCGAGTAGTGCGGCAGGGAGACGGAGGGCCGATGTTCTTTCCCTGCTTCTCGGTGGCGCTCACTTTGCGATCTTGTTGCTTGATTTTTTCGCCGGAATACTCGGGTCTGTTTGTGATTCCAGCAACGTTCCGCTTCCAGCCGACAATGGCTTCGAACTGCTACTGTTCTTTGCATTTCTTTCTTCGCTTTGGCACCAATCGCAGAGCTTAATCGTCGCGACGAACCCAGGAGCTGGGTTCGCGATGAACCAAGCGCGAAGGCTCCTGGTTTCATCTTTCCAGATCTGATTTGGCAAAGGTTAAAAAGAAAAAGACCAGAGGAAGGAGAGGATAGGACAGAACGGGAAGGAAGATAGGGGTAAATAAGTAATTAACATTAAGTACTTTTAAGAACAAAATACCTTTTAAAATATTTATAATCATAATTATATAATTAAATTATTTTTAAAATTATATTAGATAAAAAAAATAACCATATCATCAATTTTTATAAATTTTTTACGTAATTCAAATAAAAATAAATTTTTTTAACAATTAATATGTCATTTCAATCAAATTTCAAACTTTAAAAATAAAAAAGAAAATTCTTTTCGGTATAAAAACTGAAAAGGGTTTTTTTTTTTCCATAAAAAAAGGACCAACAAAAAATATTTAACCTTAATTTTTTTCACAACTTTCTGAAAGGAAAAAATTGTTAGCTTTTCCTATGTGTAACCTACTTAATTTTTTTATTAATTTTTATTATATTAATTTTTTATTAAATATAAAAAAATTAATAATCCAACAAAATTTACCTATAAAATTTGTCAATTTTCATATAATACATTTTAATTAACTTTTTTAATAAAATTTTCTTAATAGAGTTAGCCCTTTCTAACCAAACAGCGTTAAATCCATCACCATGCAAGTGAGGTTAAGAAATTTATAGTGTTCAATTACAAGATTAACCTTAAAAAAAATAAACAACAAAAAGACAAACATACATAAACATTTCACAAATGTATAAGCAGATACCCATCTTCCAAGTCAATGCACGCAACATTGGCAAATAATAACATTAACAATCCATCAATGTTATCATTAACAATAACTAACACTAATAACATCAGACACATCAATTTCATGTAGAGCACCAGGGGAACACTGGAATGCTACCATTTTGGTGAGACACAATCCAATCATATTCTCTGCACCATTTATACATGCAAGATAGAGATCAGAAAATAGCCAAGGAACAACAAGAAATGCTCTGCTTATAAATGCTGAGACCAATCCTCAAAGATAAAACATATATGACACAATGTGCAAAAGATTGTGTAAACTCCTCTTTATACTTTAAAAGCTTTAATTTGCTTCTAGAAATACTAAAAAAAAAATTAATTGCACAATAAACGATTGCGGGCGCAAGAACGTAGGGGTATATTGATGGTGTAATTAATATTATTTTTTTATTTTTAATTACTAATTAACGTAATAATTGCATTATGAACATCTGTACCTAAGACATGAGTTATGTCCCTAAAACATAAACATTAAAAACTCTTAAAATGTAGGAGAGAAAAGTACATTACATTTTAACGAGTTGAAAAAGTTTACTAATTCTGCTCTTGCGTTTAACCAATTCTCCTGTCTGCAAGAAAAAAAATGCATACTCAATTTAACAGTAAAAAAATCATAAAATAAAAACATTCACACAATTTTATTCTATCATTTACGTTAACAATTCTGCCGCCGGTCGATGAGCTTCAAATGCTTCCATCCAATAAGGCTTGTCCTGACCCTTCCTCCTACAATAAAAAATTGTACTCAATTTAACAGCAGGAAAAAAAAATCCTAAAAATAATAGCATAAAGGCAATTTTGTAGTATTTACACTTTAAGACTCGGTGGTTGATCAGCTTTAATAATTTCTTCCACTCGCTTCCAACCCAACTTCCTACAAAAAAGGACTTATGTACTCATTTTACAATAGAATAATAAAATAAAAGCATGCACGAAATTTAATAGCATTTACGTGTCAAGTTTTAGTTCTTCATTGGCTTTTATTTTATCTTTTTCTAATTCCTTCCAAACCACCACCGAATTCTCCTTCCTGCAAGAAAAGGATACGTACTCAATTCTTTTAACAGTGGAAAAAATATTATAAAATAATAGTAAACACACAATTTTGTAGCATTTACATGTGAAATTCTAGTGGTTGCATTTTTTTATTTTCAATTGCTTCTAATTCCATCCAACAAGGCTTCAAACCCTCCTTCCTGCAAGAAAAGTATATGTTTTCAATTTAACATGAGATAAAATATCATAAAATAAAAGCATATACACAATTTTATATTGCCTTTGTTTCATAACAACTATTGATTTTTGTTTTTTCTCTAAATTAAAGATTTGAGAACCAATTATATATATTTACCCATATTATCCTAAAAATTGCCTTTGTTTCATAACAACTATTGATTTTTGTTTTTTCTCTAAATTAAAGATTTGAGAACCAATTATATATATTTACCCATATTATCCTAAAAAAAATAAAGTAAGAATTTTTATAATAGGATAATTAATTAAAATAAATAAATAATAATAGGGTTAAAATAAGAAGAAATATTTATTTATTTTAAAAAATAATAATTAATTTAAAAAAATTTAAATTTGAGAAATAATAATTATCTTAAAACAACAGGAGTAACATTTTCGTGCAAAGTCTCGATTGTTTTAAAATATCTGCTGCCGCAATCCAATAAGTGCCCCTCTCCATCCGAGTAGTGCCCCCCTCCCTGCAAGAAAAAAGATATATGTAATCAAATTTAACATGAGAAAAAAATATCATAAAATAAAAGCATATATGCATTTTTGTAGGATTTACACCCAAAGTTGCATTCGACGTTTTCGATAAATTTCTTCTACTTCCACCCAACTGAACACATCCCTGCAAGAAGTAGATATATGTACCCAATTTAACATTAGAAAAAATATCATAAAATAAACAAAAATATTATGTGAAATTGTAAGACTATAAAATGATATATATTATATAATTAATTCTTTTTATTTAAAAATTTACTAATAATATCATATACATTTATTTATTTAATATCATATTATAATTCTTTAATACTATATTATTATCGTAAATATACAATCATATATGACATTATTTCTATCACATTGCCGTAAGGTAAAAGCATACAAGCAAATTAGCATTTATTTCGTCAAAAGACATAGTGATTGATAAAAATTGAATAAATTTTATTGCCTCCATCCAATCATTGGATCTGTTCCTGTAAGAAAAAGATATATGTAACCCAATTTAACATTATAAAAGATATCATAAAATAAAAGTATTAGACGATAATTTTGCATTCTATTCTAAAATAATTGTTATTTTAAAATTTTTTTATATATTAAAAATTTGAGAACAATTTATATGATAATTTGGTGAATAATTAAAATAAAGATAATAAGAAGGTGAAGTTAAAAAAAATATTTCATCCTTCCAAAAAAAAGGAAAAATGATAATTATTTCAAATTGAAAATGACAATTATTTGGAGAGAATTGGAGTGGCATTTACCCGACTTTTGACATGACTTTTGGTTGCACTGGTTGATAAGCCTCACTAATTACCTTTGCTCCCTGTGCCTCCTCCCTAAGAGAGCAGGACATGTAGCCAATTTAATAGTAGAAAATCATAAAATAAAAGCATACATGAATTTGTTCCTACTCCTTGTGTCCCAAAATAGTGGTAGTTTTTTATATAAAATTTATTTTTAATTAATTAATTTTTTAATTTTAAAGAAAAATAAATAATTTTTTGTAACTTTAACTCTATAGTTATTTTTAATTTTAATTATTCATTTATCACCAAAACTTTTTATTTATCTTTTTCTCTTCTTAAGTATAACATAGATAAATGTATAAATTGTTTTTAAATTTTTTATTTACAACAAAAAAACAATTATTTTAAGATAAAAGGAGCAGTATTTACTTTAATTTTTTCCATTCATTTGCTTGATACTTCTTCCAACCCTCTTCCCTGTAAGAAAAAGATATGAACTAATTAAGTTTAACATATTAGAAAAAATATCATAAAATAGAAATCGTACACGCAATTTTTTAGTAGCATTTACATATACTTCTCAGGTGGATCTTCTGCAATAATTGTCCTTGCAATGCCATAATGTATAGAGCAGACATCAAGTTCATCATCTAGTATCTCCACAACCTCACCATCCAGAAGAGGATGCCAGGTGGTATCATCCTATAGATAAATATTATAGAGAATTATAATAAGTAATACAGTTATAACGTCAAAAAAAGAAAAACTTTTATCTAAACCAATTTAATTACTTGTCACATTATCTAAAAAAGAAGTGGTTTCAATTTTATGCTTACTAAGACTTTTTAATTAACGAAAAAGAATACAGGTTTTTTTTTTTTTTGTATAGATGAGTGGTAACCAGTTTGTTAAGCAAATGTTAAAGTCTCTCACCTTAATCTAAAATTAATATTTTAGTGAGTACTCACCTAACTAAAATCTTATTGGTGAGATAGAACATATATAATTAGAAGAAACTCTCTAATTACAAACTTAATTTCCTCCTATAAAAGATAAAATAAAAAGGACAACAACTTACGCTGCCTTTCTTATAATTTTCTTCAAAATGCATCAAGGCATTCCTTGTAAACTTTACAATATCTGAACCTTCAGAATAAGAAAGATGTTCACTTTGTCCAGCTCCGAACTGAAGGATTCCTTTATAAGCATTTTTGTTTTTTCCTTTTATTTTTTTAATTTGATCCAGGAACCACATCCAATGAAATTGTCCATTCAGCCAACCCTTTAATCCAGAGCGAAACATGACATCGTGGATCAATAACAAAAAGTTTTTTTTGTCAGCAGGATCATATAGAATTGGATGTTTACTGCATAACCAATAATTTAATCTGAAAAAGAGAGATAAATAGTAATTATTTAGAGAATGAAACATATAATCTCAATTAAAAAAGAAATAAATAAATTTTCAATTACGAAGTGATTCCGTCCTTTTCTTCTGAACTGGAACTGATTTCATTATCCCAGAAATTCAACGCCGATATAAACTTTGGGGGCAAATCATCGGCTTGATCCTTACTTAGTACTGTATTAAAGACATGACATGCATAATGCAAATTCTTATCATGATCGTCACCTGCAAAAGAATTAATAATTAAATAAATTAAAAATTAAAAAATACTAATAATAAACAAAACAAAAAAAATGCAGAAACAACCTACCTTCTTGTAAATTTAAAAGCCTAGGCAGAAGCATAACTTCTTCTGATGAAACAAACTCACCATCTCTTAATTTTAAAAACTTAGACTCTTTCCTAATTAAAGGCATGTGATCTCCAGTAGAGTCTGGATCATGATTCCTTTCGTTTCCAGTACCGTTTGGGTCATGGTTACTTTTGTTACAAATCTGTATCTTTCTCTCCTTCATTTCATGTAATAATTTCCAGAGTTCCCTGGATATACAAAATAAGTCAAAAACAAAACTATACCAATAAAATAAAACCAAAAGAAACAAATATAAAGGCATACCGAATCTTTGGCATTACTTCAGTCTTCATCCATTCACCCCACTGCATGTCCTCAGGCGGCAATGCATCAGAAAGCCATTGAGACATAGTTTTATCAAAGGAAGGATAAATCACTTTCACTGTTGACTCCTCTTTTTCTATGTGTAGAACTTTTAAGGCATATTCCATTCGGCTGGATAACATGAGCTGTCTCGTTGGATGTTCATCAACCTTATAATCCACGATTACACAATGATGTCCTGCATCTTTCTCATCATTTCTTTCGTTCTCTCCCTGCGATCTTTTCTTAGCATTTATATGATAAAACCCCTCGTAAAAGCCATCCAAGGGATATGTTATTCTAGGATTTTGTCCGTTGGGGAAAGTAGACCTCAACATTTCCTTAGCAACAAATCTTTATAGAATGAAAGGAAAAAGAAAAAGAAAAAATTAGAGAGAAGACTTTACTAAGGAATTTTACAAGCATGATCTTAGCATTAAATGCTACACTTTGAAAAAAGAATATTAAAACAAAGCTCGTACTAGGAAATCAATAGAGTTAAATATTACGACTCATATTTCTGTTTTACGGATCTTACTCCCATTAAATTAAATTTAAGAATATTCCTTATAAGGTGAAGTAGAGGATAATTAGGAGTGTTTTACGGAGTAAGATAGAAAATTGGAGAGACAAGGTGCTAAACCTCGTGCGAAGGTTCAAAGCACACAAATTCAGTTCACTGCTCGAACCTTTTAGAACCAGCCTACATCTTGATTGGCTATAATTGCATGTTTTGGTTCATGCACCAAATTAATTGTTGTATACTCCTTATTTTAGTTGGATGCATAATTTCTTTGTTAACTTTCCTTTGAGGTTTCTTTAATTGCTTTTTTATTTTGAGTTGTCTTTTTACAATTAGGTATTAATTTTGACATCGTAACTTAAATTTTTTTTTTTTGAACAAGTATAATTTAGGGATAGGGAGATGGGGAATTTTTGGCATGGCAATGCCATGACTTGAACTTTAATTATTGTCAAAATATTAAATGCACCTAACAATTGGCTCATGAGACCTGACGCGACATCGTAACTTAAAATTGCTTATTGCTTTCCTTAGAAGATGTATGGTCCCATCGTAAATAGTATGAGGATAGCTTTTAACTATACCTTC